ATATATTAATTTATTAAAATTTTAATGTCATTACAAACCACATTTATTCATATTCAAATTATATAAATATAAGTATAATTAATGCAAAAATAGTTTATAATTTTAAACTAAAATTTATTATATTTTTTAACGCGTATTTACAGTATATTTATATGTACAAATTAAAACAAACACAAAAATATTAATTAAATTAAAAGTCATACATTTACACTCAAATTTACAATCAAATATCGACACAAATTGTAGTCATAATAGATAGTTATATAAACTCTATAATATCAGATGCACTTGCTATTCATACTTTTCCAAGTACAAATTGAGTGAAAAATTTAAAATTAATATTTTCATAAATCAAAACAATTGTATGAATAAAATTAATAATTTTAACAATGCACAAATCATTAATCAAAAACTGAGACATTATCCCCGAATGTTCACAATAATTATTAGCAGTTTAAAATTCACTATAAAGTTATGTTTTAATAAATAGTTAGCAAAATTTTAAAATTTAGTACATTTTTTGGGTACATTAGTGATTCTAGTATACGTTTTTAACACCCCTACGGAAAAGCGTATAAAAATGAAATACTTTGTAAGGATTGAATAAGTATCGGGATAGTAGTATTTAGCAGCTTATGAACGGCCTTACAATGTACTACTTCTAGAGATCATGTTTTATCCTATATTTGAGTACAAATTGAGTATTAATTTACGCAAAATCATTGAAGTATATAAACATTGAAGCACACAGTACGAGGAAAATAATTTGTCAATTATGCCGCACTTACAACCATTGGTACAAACTATTCAATAATCGTTTTACTAAACTTTATTTAGAGAGTATTCACTTTATGAACGGCACATATTTGTATGGATATAATACTGTAAAATAAGTTTGTTTTAGAAATAAATTCAATCAAAATGTGTTCATTAGTGCCAAGAGTTTTACAATTCAATTTATTACGACACCCAAAGTGTGTGACATATAATGTATTGAAACGTTTGAATAGCAGTCAAACGACGAGTGGTTTTAACTTTGAGTTGAATTCAGAGCAGAAATCACTGCAAGAATTGGCCCAAAAGTTCGCCAAAGAGGAGATCATCCCTCGGGCCCCACATTACGACCAAACGGGTCACTTTCCCTGGGATCTCGTCAAACAGGCCCATGAATTGGGTCTCAGGAATGGTGGTGTTCCCGCTGAATACGGGGGACTGGGTCTCAGTCTATTTGATACGTGTCTATTAGGTTAGAAAACTAAATTGAATCAATGTTTCTATACTTTACAATATTATTATGAACACACATTCCTTTCATCATTTATAAATTAATGATTGAAAAATCACATTTTTGTTTCACAAATTGACATAGATTTTGACAATCAAATTACTACTGTAATGTGGTTACAAAATGATTTTTTATGCAAAGTATAACTTTAATTATTATAGAGTTGTATTTAGATTCTTTATATCGAACCATATCTAATCTGTAAGAATCTAATCACTTAGCATGTTGATATACTTAACATACTATATTTGCAACAATGTATTGTATTTATATGACAATTATATTATATACACTGACAGGTGAGGCATTGAGCTATGGGTGCAGTGGGATCGCCTTAGCCATTTCGTCCAGTGCTCTGCCACAGGCGCCGGTCATTCTGTTTGGAAATGAGGGCCAGAAAAGGCAATATTTGGGACGAATGACCGGTTCGGAGGTGTTGTGTGCGGCCTATTGTACGACAGAACCGGGCGCTGGCAGTGATGTGGCGGGTGTTAAGACACACGCCGTCAGGAATAAAGATGGCGACTATGTTCTCAACGGCCAGAAGATGTGGATCACGAACGGAGGGGTCGCCAACTGGTACTTCGTGTTGGCGCGCACTAACCC